TTCTTTGGTTTAACTCCTACTTAGCAAGGATGCTAAAACTACAGTGCGACTCCAAAGAATTTGCAAATACTGGTATTTTGCATTTTCTCTAATAAAATATGCTTTTATGGACAAAAGTTGAATATTTTAATTCCTTACTGCTCGCCCAATACCCAAACATTACATCTTAGAATAAATTAGCTTTATTTGTGAAATTTTTATTAATTAAGGAAGTAATACTGACTCAAAAGTTTTTGCAAACTAATTTCAATGCAAAAAATTCATCCTGTTCAAAATAATGAAAAGGTGTATTATGTATTATGCACCAATGAAAGTCGGTATGGCTTTGTTTTGATATCAATGTATGAAAGCACAAGGAACACATTAATATTTAATTTTTCGACCATCATTCTTAAGAGGCGAAATAAGTCATTTATCGACTGATGAAGTGAGTTTCCTAACTTCACTGGCTTTAATTTTAGAACAAACATCCAAAATACACTTCCACAGGTGAAACTTGTTAGAAAATTGCCATCGATTTTTATAAACTCAACGCTTTACTATGGGCCAAAGGTTCACAATAGGGTTTAAATTAGGGCTCTGTGGTGGCCATACCATGATCTTGTTCTCTGTAAAACCTTGATTTGCCAACCACTCTTTGGTGAAGTGGACTGCATGACTGGGGGCATTATCTTGCTGATAAAACAAGATTGCTACAGAATTCATCATTTTGTGAATTCAACCAGGGTATGAAATTTTCTTTAAAAAATTGGCAATAATTAGCTGAATTCATTTTGAATCCTTCTGGCACAAGAAATGGTTCAATTAATCTCAAACCACAAATTCCAGCCCAGAACATCACTCTACCATTGCCTTGTTAGCATTTAAAATGCAAGTGAGGAGTTCCACCATGAATGAGCCAACCTCTTTTCCAACCATCAGGAGCCGTCTAATGTAGCTTGGGCTTAATCCATCCAAATTATTCTTTCGAAATCAATTTTTAAGTAATTGTTTGCTTATTCTAACCTCTTCAGGTGATTTATTTCATTCAACGGAGGACATGAAATTGGAGAACGTTGTTTTGCCATATTACAAAGGATGCGATTTCTTGTTGCTTTCGATACTTCTTTAACACCAGCTTGCTTAAAAATCTCTTTGCCGGTGCTGTGAGAGTTCTTTTGGAGGGCTCTTTTAATTTTTCTTAAATCTCTCGTTAACTGCATGTGGGCGACCACCCTTGTGCTTCTTGCGCTCAACTTTACCATCATTGACACTTAACTGTGTGATAATCTCATTTAATTATTTTTGCTATTTCCAATGTAGTTTTATCATTTGAAAGTAATTTCGATATTTTGGCTTTTTCATCAGCAGTAAGCATCTTCCCACAAGCCATTATTTTAAAATTTATGATTTCTGCAAACACTTTTGATTCACCTGAAATATATTGAAATTCTTAAATAAATAAAAATATGGAGATTTTCGTTAATTAAACCTTTATGTCACATTGGACATGTCATTTTAAATTAAATATATTTATTGTTTACACAAGCCATTAGAAATGTTTAAATTTGTATATTCTAGAAATGTTATACGTGCAAACACTTTTGAGTCACACTATATTAGTACATAATTTTTTAGAGTGGGGGGACCTAAAATTTAAAATCCACCTGTCCTATAGTTAACAAGGGATATCAGGCAAAATACCTAAGATTTTAAGGAAAACTTATTCATTAATGAGGGTAATTTCATTATTATTATTTTTTTGTTTTAATCATATCACCCCAAGTTAGTAAAGCCACTAAGACACAAGAGGTTACTAATTTAGTGATTATTACTTCAATAATTAAATGCATAAGGTTTCTTACAGGAATATTTTATAGTACATGAAAAGTGGTGAATAGGAGTACATAAACAAATAACAGACCAACTGATTTGCAATGCAAAGATAACATTTATTTAAAAAAATAAGGTTTAATTGTATACACAACAAAATTTTCATTAATATGTTATAATGGGAACTTACTTTGTTAGTGTGTTTTATGTGAAGCATTCACAGCCCTTGTAGCTTCAGTGTGGAAAGTTCATGTCAGCAGTTTGAAAGAAGAGAGAGTTACCTTAGCATTCACATAATTTTATATTTGAGAGCTGCTGCTGATATAAGGTTTGTTTTAGAACTGCTGCTGCTGTTATCTTTAAGGTCACTATACTGAGTGTGAAAGAATAATACAAAAGAGAAACATTATAAAGGAGAGAGAACAATAGAAGAGTAATCAATGAGATAACAATTGACATTGCATTTAAATTTTTGAAGATAATGTTGGCTGCGAAACATGAAGTCAGAAGAGAATACCACAAGTGAAAAGTGCGAGAAAAGAAACTGTTAGCATAGAACTTATGATTACATCTAGCCAATTCAACTGTGAATCGATGAGACCTTGCTGTCAATCTAGTCTTTTTTTTTCTTTTTATGTGCCATGTTCTTTCAGGACATAGGAAATTATGGCTCTCCATTTCCCCCTTGTGGTTCTCAATAAGTTTTGTGCCTCTGACAACTCCCTGCAGGCCACGTTCTGCCATCCACTTGCTTAAGCCCACCAGGTATGTCGTGCATTGCTTTCCCTTGTCTCTTTTTCCCTCTAGTTGACCTGTGAATATCAGATTCTCCACACCCTCCATGTCACAGAAATTTCATCTGCCTCTTCATTATGTTAAGTATAAGTTTCCTCCTTGTTTGCATCCTCTCCAAGACCTCACCATTGCTCACACATTCGCTCCATGATATCCTTAGCATCCTTCTGTAGAACCACATCTCTGCTGCCTAGAGTCTCATCTTCATCTTTGAGGAGACCATTGAACATTCACTACTGTGCTTAAATTTATAAAATCTTGGTACCAAAACGAAGAGTTATTATTGGATATATATTAAAACCCTTCAGGAAGAGAAAGGGAATGAACCTCTGGCCTGAAGTAAGTTAGCAAATTAATTTTTAAAAAGGCATGCAACTTTCAAATTTTAGGCAATTCTTCAAAATCAAGTGGGTGCCCCCCCAAAAAAAAAATTCAGCCTGTAGTGTATTAAAATTCCTTCATGAATTGTAGTTTATTCCTTCTTAAATGTTGAATTCCATTTCTTTGAAAATTCTCAACTTCAACCCCATCCATTACAACCTGTAGCTCTACTCCACAACAATTGTGTTAATATTGCAAAACTCCCTTCCGGCTCCATGCTTTCCAGCCAACATTAATCTTCAAAGATTTAAATTCAATGTCAATTGCTATCCATTGTCTTCCTGGTTACGCTTCTTCTATACTCACACCTTAGTGATGTTTCTGTTTTCTAATCCTTCCACACCCAGTAATTCCTCGTGTCTCAATAGCTTTAATGCCTTGCTTAGGTTGAACTTGATTAGAAAAAAAATCTTTTTAAAAATGTGCATTCAAATTTTATTTGATTCTTTTGTTGGCTTACAAACATTTTTAGTTTATTTAGAGTCAAAACATTTTAGCTTGTAAGAATAATTCTTTTTTGTGAGTGAATATTGCATTAACAAATATTTAACCCATAGCTTGGAGGAGAAATGAATTCATACCTTTTCCAAGGCTATTTGCATATAAGTTAATATAATGAAAACAGGAATTTGAACTCAAATCTCTGATTTCTCATTCCAAGCCACTATCCATTACACCAATATCAGTGTATATATATATATATATATATATATATATATATATATATATATATATATATATAATAAAAAAGAAAAATAAAGATAAATTTTAAACTCTCCTTCTCTCTCTTTTTTCAACCATGTCTCTCCATCATTACTCATCACCCTCTAATTCAACTTATATAAGCTTAATACTGCCCGTCAAAAGTGTAAATTTTAAATTCGTTTTTTCATTTCATCTTTGAAAGTAAAGTCTGAGGATCCAGAGAAAAAGTAAAATTCTCTGGTGAAATAAATTATTACTATGGAGCCTTAAAGTGGCCTTTTTTTCTTTTAAATTAATATATATATATATATATATATATATATATATATTTGTAATTTGATTGGCCATTACATCTTAGATAAAAATATTTCACCTAGTAGCGGGTAATGGTTGGCTTTGACATCTTTAAAAACTTTTTATTTTACAATCAACACCATCACTTGACAAGACACCAGAAGATTTGAAAGAAAATGGTTATTTTTGTAGTGATATTATAACATACTTATGTTATAATTTTTAAATATATATATATATATATATATATATATATATATATATATATATAATAAATGCAAATGTCAGTGTGTCACACTTTTTCAACTTTACTCCTAGTGGTTGTAGCCCAACATATACAACTTTGGAATCAAGCTGGCTCCATGAGCAAATGAAAAATATTCCATTCATCACCGTGATTGTTTTTGGCAATTTTTTTACGGGAATTATTGTAACAAATTTTTTTCTACGATAACAATTTTTATAACTTGGAAATAAATTTGCTAATAATCAAAATTAACTGCAAAATCCAGCAAAAGTCACCCATGAAATAAAAATAATTGTTTGTAAGCAAAGTGAGGACCTACGTACATCAAACTGTTTTTAAATTGAGTGGTGGCAGAAGAATTATCATTGAACTTTTAAAAGATAAGCTTAAATATTAATACAATACTTAAATGCAGAGATCAATTTTGTGTTCTTCTGTAGTTTATTGTTGCCTATTGCATCTACTCTTCCTATCTGTTGTGATAAGGCCCAATTAAAAGCTCACTGCAGGAACTAGCTGAAATACCATCCAATAATGCGGCTTTTAAGCTAGTGTATATATATATATATATATATATATATATAAAATATTTAATATATGAATCAACCCCTTGAAAAGTGGACACAGTACTACAAAACTGTATAGTTGAGGATAATTGATGTGTACAATTATGGATAATTGCAGTAAGTAATTTTTCCGTATTCAAAAATTAAATTTATATATATATATATATGTATAGAGAGAGAGAGAGAGAAAATCTACAAACCAGTACAAGTTCCAGTTTTCATCTGGGTTGACGCACACCCATCCTCGGGTTTCAAAATTGTTTACAAGTACTGATTTGTCTTGATCACAGGCATATCGAACTGGAGACATCTTCTGACTGATGCTGATACTTCCGCAGCCAGAAATTCAACTGTCTTTGCTGGAATAATCACTTAAAACAAGTTCTGAAATGACAAAACAATAAAAAACATATTCAAAGACTATAATGTTTTATAATGAGATAAAAAACAAATATTCTTGTATTATTTTGAACTATTGTTCTCATTGTGGTTGATATAGATGTTATTATAGACACAACGTTTCAACCAAATACTCTCAGGTCATCATCAGGTGTTCATTGATTAGCTGCTATGGGATAGCTCTTGATCACAGTGATATTTTGTCCCTATGTGAGGGTGAAAAAATAATAATTCCCTTTACCTACTCCCTTCAAATTTGGAGGTCTGAGGAAGAAGAAGAAGAAGAAAAGAAATTTGTGGGCCTATGTGAGATTCTTGTCTTCACAAAAATTAATTGGTGAGCCAAGAAGGAGGAAAGAAATTTCCAAGCTTATGTGAAATTTTCTTTGACCCAATGAAAACCATGCTTTCACAGAAATTAATTGACAAACAAAGAAGAAGAAGGAAAGAAATTTGCAAACCTATGTGAAATTCTTTTTAATATAAAATGAGGACAAAAATTAAATTAATGAAAAGAGTGTCTGAAAGGTTTTGTTCCTCAGGACCAGCACTGAAGTACTTGCCAGTGTAAAATTACTAACTATTATATTATTGGCCTTTAACTAGTATGCGACACCAAATTTTCTCTCAACAATTCAAGAAAGCTAAATGTTTCAAACTCTCTTCATCTTTTGAACGTATGCAAAGCTATATATACCTTAGTAAGCAACAAACTCTCTTACCTTTGTTTTAATCATTTTTAATATTATTTCATGTCAGATCATTTAATCTGTTGTCTGAACATTTCCTCTTCATGACAATATGTTAAAACTACAGACTTTAAGAATTCTAACTTATTTTCCTGAAACGAGCCACTGACACTACTTCAAGTGTAAATTTGTGAATAAATTCCTTATCGTTTGAAAATTAACTGTGTGTTTCCTCATCATTATCAGCCTTCATTAATCTTCTTGGCATGGGTAGATTAACTGTTCATTTTAACCCCTAAGCCACTATAATATCATTTATTGTTCATTCTTGCTCAACCTGTTCTTCAACCAAGGATTAGCAACAACACATGTATAACCAACTCCTATATACACTATGTCATCATCCTGAAGGACATTAATAGTGTGTCTTTTGGAGCCTTTTTATATTCAATATCAGATTTCAGATTATATTTCAATGTCAGATTTATTTTTTTTTACATTTGGTTATGATGGTGGGTTCATACTGCTTTTCATAATTTATGGATTCATTCATTCATTTTCTACAGCTCATCAACCCATTGCAAGACACATGGTACAGTTAATTAGATCCAGTGACAGGGCCCAAAGAGTATGAGTTCAATACCTGGTTAAGGCGGTGGAGAACTTTGAGAGGGAATTAAGCAGAAGATAATTGATAACTGACATCCATTAAACATGGCACATGGAACTAGAACAGTCTACCCCAGTGAACGAAATAAAAGGTTCAGTTCAACATTCCAACCACCTGAAGAAGGCGGAAACATATAATAATGTAAATAGTGGCCATTGCAGGTTATTTAAAGCTAGAAAATATTTTAGATTGTAAGAATTTTTTTTGAGATAATAATGATTTAGTAATACAAGTCTTACTAATTAACCCATAGCTGTGGGGAGAAGAGATGAAACCATACCTTTCCCAAGGGTATTTGTACATAAGTGAATGTAATGAACCCAACTGAAATTGGAACTTGGCTCTCTGATTAACAATTCCAAGGCATTATCCACTACACCAGCTGCACATCCAATCTTATAACACCTGGTATTCCCAAGCAGTCATCGATCTAGTTACTGACCAGGGTCAATGTTGCTTAAATTTGGTAATCATATGGGAACTGTTGTTTCAACATGATATGGCCAAAAGCTTTTCATAATTTAGTATTTCATTTCTGAAAGAGATGAGTCATTGTCAAAAATGTTAGAATAAGCTAGAGAAAAATATTTTAAACTATGTTGAAGGCCATTGATTCTGGCTTCATACTTAACAATCAGGGCCACATAAAATAAAATGGTCAGTGCACTTGGAAATGGGGGCTACAATCGATGTTAAATGGTGGGAGCTAAATTTGAAAGATTCATGTATTATAAAAATTTTATTTTTATTACTGTTAGTCTTTGGTGTAATAATAAATGTTTAATAGTCTAAGTTAGTTTTTTTGTACACGTTCTTTTGAGAAAAGTGTATTTTAAGAAAGCCAGATAGTTTGTGTAAAAATTGTTATATATGCATATCTTTTTAGGCTTAGCAGTTAAAAACCACCAAAATTGTTAAGGATCCATTTCAAATTTATGGAAAATTATTTTTTCATGTATTTTGGACAGTGAGAGAAATGTCATAAAGCCCTTGTGAAAACTTGGATGGCACCTTCTGTGACTCTCTTTTTTGTATAAATAGAACTCGGGTCAGTAGATAAGGCGAGTATGTTTTTGACATCAAGAAAAAAGCAGTTAGAAGGATATTGATATCAAGGAGAAGAAGGCATTTGACTTCAAGGAGAAGAAAGCATTTTGGCGAGAAGACACAAGGTGACAAGCCAGCTGCAGAGAGACTAAAGAATTTTGAAGTTCAAGTGAAAATTCCCCTGTAGTTGGACAACAAAAACAGAATTCAAAAGAAATTTTCATAAGCACAGTGTAAATATAAAAAAGACATTTCCAAAATTGTTTTATGTCCCAGAGACGCTCATGTGATAAGTAAAAGTTGATGTTTCGTTTTTTCCTGAAAGGTGGTTGCACATTTGTTGATCTGATTTTTTGAATTGATTTCTTTTTTTGTCATTTTTTAAATTGTAATTTTTTTCTATTTTCAATGGTTAATCCTTTTTTTTTTCCAATATGTCTGTAAATATTATCCAGCCTTAATTATTTATAAGGCACACAAAAGGAAATTTTTTGTCTTATATGAAAATTTTTGCATTTTTTCGTTCTTATACTGTAATAAAAATGTTTGTCTTTTAAATGTTATGCAGTCTTATTTGTTAATCGTGCCTTATACAACTTTCTATTCCTACTAACTAGGTTTTGTGTTTGACACAAGAATTTAGATTTGGTAGGGAGTTAAAGATTTTTATAGCATTGCATACTTTTCTTAAATCCTCTGACCAAATATTATTTTTAATTACATACCATATACTCATGTAACACGCAATCTCACATATCATGTGATCCACAAAAAACCCACAAATTTTCACTCATAAAAAATGATTTTATTATGTATCTTGCGTATCCTGTGAGTTCCTTTTTTAAGAGACCAAATTACAATAGACTAACCTCTTTTCCTCTATCTCTTTATCCCATCTTCTACTTAAATAAGTTAAAAACGTAAACGAGAATGATAAGCCTATCATAAGTAACCCTATACCCATACAGTATGATACCATACTATACCATACAGTATGATGATACCATACTATACCATACAGTATGATGGGCCATACAGCTATAAACAATCAAATGAGAAACAGCAGAAACAGCTAAACATGTAAACAATGGCGAAGATGCATATTTGCTATATTTGTATTTTAATACGATATGTGGATATTACATGCATTATTATTGGATACAGTTAAGTTAAACATCATGTTTAAATACAGCTGTATGTTTTGACTAAATGGATATATAGTTTGGTCACCAGTGTAGCCAGGACCGAGCAGTACATACGCTAATTTTATATCGCATGTATGATGCGACCCCCTTAAAATTAGCTTCATAATTAGGTCTTCAAAAATCACATGATACGTAACTATATACGGTATGCTAATGTAAATATTTTTTGTTTGTTTTGGTTTTAATTTTTCCTTTTATGGAATGATAAACTATTTTCCCCGTATAAAAGACCTATAATAATAATTTCTGTGTTCCACACCACTACCAAAAAAAATACAAATAAAAAAAAAACACAATGATTAGTCGACAGAATAATAATAAAAAAAAAGATAATACTTTTAATGCAAGAAGTTTTTGTAAGCAAAGTGCCCTGTCTTGGTCTATTTACGAGGGGCATTGAGTATTTTGGGGCTATTGCCAAGGCAGGTGTCTGTCATTTTTCTTTTCTTTTTATGTTTTCTTTTCTTTCTTTTGTCATTTTTTCTTTCTTTCTTCTTGGTTTCTTTTTTCACTTGGTATCATTTTTTTGTCATTTTCAGGCATTTTAGAGCACTTTAGATTGGCAGGGTTTTGTGTCCTACTTTGAAAATTTACCAATAGTTTGGTTTGTTTGGTTTTACTTATGTAATGGTACATAACCCACTTTACTTATCCCATGAGTGTCTCTAGGACATAAAACAATTTTGGAAATGACTTTTTTATATTCACACTTTTTGTGCATAGGAAAATTTCTTTGAATTCTTTTTTTATTGTTCAACCAGAAGAGAATTTTCACTTTAACTTCAAAATCCCAAATTTCCAGGAATTGGTTCTATAAAGACAGAAAGAAAAAGCCAATATTGAATAGTATCAATAGTATGATCAGAATGTGCTAACCGTGTTTGGAAAAAAAATAATCACTCCAGATACATGTATAAAAAAATATACACATTCAGTTGAAAATAAAAATAAAAAGCATCTTTGATCATGTCTAATATAATAGCAGAAACCTCTCATATATATAGAATATTCAGACAGTGTTTAAACGTTTTATGTTCAGAAAAGAAAACATTTATATACGAACATAAGAAAAATTGAATTAAAAAAAAGGCTTAATTATAATACCTTGTCAGTCATTAATGAAACTATATATTACAAAAATTGAAACATTATATATTTAGAAAGATACACTGTAGTGGATCTAAGAAGGTTGTGTTAATATTTAAGATTGTGCTGTAAATAAAATATGCAATATCCACAAACATAAATTATAAGAAATGGCCAAATGGTAATGATATTCAATCACGACAAAAAATACATG